GGGGGAGGAAATCGCGATAATTGAAAATATATTAAATCGTTTGAAAATCCTTTTAAATAAATAAATAAAAAAAAAAGGAAAATACGTACGAAATATATAAAAAATAATAATAATAATAATAATAAGAAAGGAAAGAAAATTATCGAAAACGAAAAAACGGTTTTCATTCATTCATTCATTCATTCATAAAAAAATTTTTTTTCGATTTTCATTCACGAATTTCCAAAAAAAAAAAAAATTTTTTCCAAAACGGAAAATTTCGTATTTTTCACATTCCCGGAAAAACTTATTGATATTATCGTATTGAAATTTTTACATATATTATTATTATTATTATTATTATTATTATAGTTTTATTTAAAAAAAAAAAAACTTTTATAAGGCACCGAAAGAAAAACATGCACGCGCACGCGCACACGCATATTTACAAAAAAAAAAAAAATTGCAAAAGAAGATATTTCGTTGTTGGGAAAATTAATAAAAATGGCGGAAGGAAGTCGAATCAAATGATTATTTTTCTTTTCTTTTTTTTTTTAAATTTAGAAAACGTTGGAAAGTTTATTAAAAGATCTTTTAAGATTTTAATTAATTTGAAAAATTTTTAGGAAATAATGACGCTGTCGTTTTCGGTATCATTTATCAAAGCGTTTTTCTTTTTCTTACGGTTTGAGAAAGAAAATTTCGATTCAGGTATACATAAAATAAATGTTTTTTTTTTTTTTAAATAAAATTTAAAACGGATCGGATTTTTTTTTTTTAATTTTAAATCCCTTGGAGTAATATTTAAATTATATATATATATATATATATATATATATATATATATAGAAATCATAACTAATCTCTCGAGATAATGGCGGCGGTGATGACGTAGTAGTCTGTAGTAATGATTACGATTATGTTTTAAAAGGGATGATTTTATTTACGGGAGAAATTTATAAAATAATTACCGTAAAAGTGATATTCGTGTCGTTTGAAAACGATCCAAATATTCTCATAATTAAATTAGTATTAAATATTATTATTTCTTTTAACGGTTCCTTGATTTTAAATTTTCCCTCTCTTTTTTTTTTGGTTGCAAACGTGAGTTTAAAAAAAAAAATGGCGGGAAATTTTTTTTTTAAATGTTTGTTTTTAAATAATATGACGTCATCGAAAAAAACGATATTTATAGTTTTTTATTTATTTATTTTGTATTCGTTTATTTAAGAAAAAAAGAGACGTGGCAGGAGTAAAATAATAAAAGGTTTTTTTCCGGTATCGTCGAATACTCGAACAGGGTGTAAACGCGTGTATTTTAATAAAAAAAGAAATGAACGGGGGGGGGGGAGTGGGGGGCGTAATACGAATAACGTTAACGACATAATTTATTATCAGATAACAAAAAAAACATAATAATAATAATAATAATAATTGATAACTATGCAAAATTAATTCGAAAAAAAAAAAAAAAAAAAAAAAAAAAAGGGGGAAAATTTTAATATTAAAAATTATGTGATATTGTAAATTCAACTTTGATTCAAATTAATTTTATTCATTTTTTTTTTCCCCCCATTTTTTTTGAAATTGTAATTTTTTTGTCTTTTTCTTCTTTGCTTTTTTTTTTTTTTTTTTAAATAATTTGGATTGCAAATATTATTTGATTAAAAAAAAAAAAAAAAAATTTTAGCCTTGAAAAAAGTAGAAAATAATAATAATAATTTTCATATATATTCGTTCGTTCGTACGTGTCAATTTGAAAAATCTTTTTACGGTTTAATCATTTGGCGTTCATAAGATGAAAAAATTATTATTATTATTATGCGTGCGTGCGTGGGTGGGTGAGTGCGTATACCGACGAGAGTAATGGCGAATATAGGGGGGAAAAAAACAAAAAATTTTTCCGTATTTTAGATATATTAATAATAAATAAAAAATATTCGGATTTTTTTTTGTAAATTGGTCATGAGACTTTGTGATCCATATTTAAAAATTCATTTCGATGTGGTCGTCGTCTGCTTTTAGTTAAGTCATGCAATGGTATTTAAAGGACGAAAACTTTTCATTATCATTATTATTATTAGGGTGGGGAGAGAAGAAAGGGGGGAGAGAGAGGAGAGAAAGAGGCGAGTTTTAAAATAACAAAATGTCGGTTATGATAATAATAATAATAATAAAAATTTCAAACGTACCATTCCACCCCCTGCCCCCCCACCCCTTTTATCTTGTAAAATAATAATTACACAAGTCTATAAAAAAAATCGCTGGAAAAATTTTTTCAAAAAAAAAAAAAAAATGGCGGAACTCGGTTAAAAAAAAAAAAGGGAAAATTTCAAACGGAAAATTATTATATAATATTCGAGAAGGGCGATGAAATATGATGACGTACGTAACCAACGTCAATCCATCCTTTTTTCTCTCTCTCTCTCTCTCTCTTTTTTTTTTTTTTTTTGTGGGGACAAAAATAATTTTTTTTTTTTTCGTATTTATTTATTTTATTTCTTTTCTTTGTAATTTATCAAATGCGTATAAATATATATATACATTGCGTTGCGACAATTTACAACTTGCGTAATAATAATAATAATAATAATAATAATAATAATATTTTATTTATCGTAAAAAAATAAAATAAATAAACGCCTACGACGAGTCGTTTTTATTTATTTATTTATTTATTTTTGAAAATATCGTCATAGAGATAAAAAACCGACCGACCGATCGACGTGTAAGCAGACGATTTTCAAAATAAAACCGCGCATTATTTCTTTTTTTTTTTTTTTTTTTACATTATAGTCTCATCATATTTTTAATAATAATAATAATTGTTTGTTTGGAAAATTTAAATTTTTTTTTCATTTGCATCAAAAAGAATAATTTCGCGTTAATCTTAATAAATTTTTTTTAAAAATTTAAACCTGATAATAATAATAATAATAATGAAATGGATCGATGGAATTAATAATAATAATAATAATAATAAAATCTAAAAATAGTTTTTTTTTTTTTTTTTTTAAATGACCCGGTTCATTCATTGTCGAATTAAATTAAGTGTAATTAAACACCTTTTCTTTTTTTAATTTTCTCTCTCTCTCTCTTTTTCTCTCAAGGATAATTGTTCGGTTACCCCATCCATTTTCCGGTTTTTTCGGTCAAAACCAAAAAAAAAAAAAAATTTTATTTTTCGGCATAAAAAGGTTATTAAAAAGAAAGGAAAAAAGGAAAACCTTGATTTTATTTTTAGTAGTTTTAATCTTTAGAAAATGGTGTCCGAAGTAGTGTAGGTTTGAGTTTTTTTTTTCTTTTCGGAAAAACTTTATTTAATTATCGGTTATTGATATTTTTTTTTTTTAATTTTTTAAACGTCGTCGTGGTTTTAACATAAAAAAAATTAAATTTATTATATTTCTGGTAGGTGGGATAGATATTTTTTTTTTTTTTTTTTTTGTAAAAATTATTACGGTTCGACGCTTTTCGAAATGTTTGTATAAAATTAATTAAATTAAAAATTAATTGCCTTTTTTTTAATTAATTAATTAATTTTTTTTTATTTTTCATTTTTATTAACCGATTGATTGGTTTTTCTTCTTCCACTACGGAA